TGAAATTGCTTCAGTTAGGGATTGTGGTAAATCATTTTAGCTAAACTGCCGCAAATGCCCTTGTGGATACTCTTAAACAGCTTACCCAGCTTTAACTGGCTTCGGAAAGGAATCAGTTCTGGTCCAATCTTACTTAAATTTGGTTTAAAGGGGAGTTAAGCGAGTCCGCGCCGGTTTTAATTAAGGCTAGTTTGAAACCAATTATGGTAAATTAGCGGAAGTTGCGTTTTCTGCCAGGATGAAGTTCGGCACTTTGCGGCTGAGGTAGGAAAAGCCAAGTTCGTGTCAAGAGTCTGCCAGGCCCCCCCGGAGCAAGCTGGGGACACCTTGGCCACTGTAGGTCTCAAGACGGCTCAGCCCATCAAGCAGCCAGACGGCCCGAATGTTCCAGGCTGCTATACAATATATATTTATAAGGGTCTTAATATAGATCCCTAATTGCCTGTCTCGGTTGATTTATAGTGTGGCCGCGCGAGCGCTGGGAATGGCGCAAACCGCTGGTGAGCGCTGGGGGATGCACCGGGGCTTTCGGCAGGCGTTCGCCGCCGCTCCGCTCGAGCTAGCACCCGTGGGCGGGGGGGATGGGTGCTGGTGCTGGCTTAGGTGCTGCAAGAAGCCCGCTCGTGTCCCTGGCTCTACCCCAGGCTGTGAAGCTTGCCTCGGGAAAGGATTTGTTAGCCCAGCACCCCGGGCTGCAGGAGGATGGTGTAGTCATTGGGAAGGGTCCAGGCTGGCTGGCCGGTGTGGACTCATTTCGGCCACAGAGCTGCTATTTCCACCTGCCTTTCGCAGGCTGTTTCTACCGACTCTTGTTTCACTGCTCTGATGTGCCCGTGGGCCCCAAATTCCCATTCGTTCCTATTATAGCTGATATCTGGGCTGAGTTTCGTCATTCCTCTGAGCAAGGATCTTTCTTCCAGCTCCTTCCCCTATGCCAGTAAAAAAAAAAAAAGGCAGCAGAGCCGTGATGTGCCACCAGCCCCGCTCGGGGCACGTTAACAGCCGATCTGGCGGGTTATGGATCTGCAAAGCGTCGCTTCGGGTGAAGGGGGAGAGGTGCAAGCTTCGGTTAATTAAGCCACAGTTTTCATAACACTTCTCTCTGCTTGTCTCTCGTACTTCGTAGAAACACTTGACAAGCTGCTCCTACGGTTCTGTCGAGCCTGGGATGCCGCTGCGCTGAGCCGTAACCCACGGGGCGATGAGCTGAGCGCCGGGCTGCGCCGGGAAGGGTTACACGATGGCAAACGAGGTGCCAGCCGCTTCCTAGACATCCTGTAAACGCAGAGCAAACGGGAAGTTTGGAGGATTGGGAGGTTTTGCAAGAGAAACTTTTTGCCTGCTTGGAAGAAGTATTGCCCTTTTAAACTCCAGCTGAGATTTGGTTGCGCCTTTTGCAGCCTGGGATACTCCTACACGCTGGTTTCTCACCCCCGGCGTTACCCCTGGAGAGCCCTGGCAAGGCTGCTCCGGCACGGCGTGCCGTGGTGGAAACCTTCCTTAGGGACACGCAGGCGTAGCTGCTGGGCACCGGGTGGGCAAGGGATGGAGAAATGATCCCTTTGGAGTTCGGTCTCGATGCTCCCAGAGGCAAAGGATGATGAAGCGATCCCCTGGGGCATGCGGACGGTCACATCACGCTTTCCTCTCCTAAAAAAAACAGGGCTAAGACTTGTTTTCGCCGTCTCTGTGTCCCGGTCCCTCCTTGCTCCCAGCTCCCTGACCAACTGCCCGGCTTCCTCCAGGCTGGGCAGGAGGGTCGGAGGTTCGGGAGCGGGTCGATGGAAGAAGATGACAGAACTGGAGGCTGGAAGTTGATCGTCCTGCAGATTGCAGCCGGGATCTGATCTCCGAGGTGATTCTGGATACCCAGCTGACCCGGCGGGTCCTTCCGAGTCTCCAGTCTGAGATGGGGGAGATGCTGCACCACCTCGGGAGGGCGGATCTGAGGGTGCTTCTGGCTGGACTGTCTTGCACCGGCATTCCCAGCCGCATGGCTCCTGGGCTTTGTCCTGTGCATGTCGCTGCTGGCACTCCAGCGACAGGAGCGCCGGACCTTTCAGGGAGCAGAAGAGTTGCTGCCTCCTCCTGTTTTTCCCTTGGGACGTGTTTTAGGATGTGTAACGGTTTGGGCTGTCACTGGAAGGCATGCGAGGCGGTGGTGAGGTACAAAGCTGGCTTTGCCGTGCGGAGGGAGCGATGGCAGAGCCGCTGCAGGCGCCTGTGCTCCTGCCAAGAGAGACCAGCCCCGGCAGCAGTGCCGTCCTTGACGCTGTGAGCTTCAGAGAGACAATTTTGAGGGTCTTAAGAAGGGAGAAACTCCAAGATCAGACTTTTCCCTGGCAAGCTACAACGTTGGGGCATTACTAGCTGGGTGGGGGTGAAGGTGTGATGTCCTACCTGCTCCTAGCTCTTGGGTTGCAGCGCAGCTCTGGTTTGGATGCCTCGGCACTGCTGACAAAAATGGACAAAAAAATATCACTTTTGCAGCTTCGAAAGACGGATTCCATCTGCTCTTCACCTCCGCTCCCCACCCTCCGCACCCGAAAGAAAAGCAATGCTTGCTTTTGAGGCTCTGCCCACGGTACAGGCTGGGAGATGCGAGGCTGAGCCGCGGGCAGGCGTGCTGGGAAGACAGAGCTGCTCCGTGTCGCCTTGTCCAGACCGTGTCTCTTCTCAACCCGCTTTTGAGCAGTGCTGGGCAGCTGTAGTGACGACACGTGGGGCACGGCTGTATTTTCACGCCAGGTGCTCCCTGCCTTCGAACAAACGCACCTTTGTTTTGGAGCGCATCGGCTCAGCTAGATCCTATTTTTTTTTTCCCAGATCATCTTCCCCCGCAGCTGAGGGGAAACACGATGCTACGGTGAACACTTGTGCTCTGGGAGATGCCTGCTTCAAAGCCTGGTTTGGGGTTTCAGATGCACCAAGGCGGGGTGAACACATGGCTCCAGCGGGAAGGAGACACCAGGTTCTGGTCCACATAACCTCGTATTTTATTTTCCTTTTTCTTTGGCTGCGTATGTCCTCTCAGATGCTAAATGCAAGCATGAGGAAACTGCTCTGGCTGAGCCCACGTCTGCATCTCGTGTGTGTCACCGGGACAGGCAGGGTGGAAAACAGCCCAGTGGCTTTTCCATCAGCTTTCCTGGGCTTTGGCGGCTTGATTGCGTCTTTAATTGGCTGCTCCATGCTCTGCTGGGTCTCGGTAGAAGCAGACAACGTACATAAATCAAACTCTTCAGGTTTCCTTCGGTGAGCTGATGGAAAGCTCACTACAGCTACTGGCTGTTCTAGGGGTGGGGGGAATAACCTTTGGGGCGCTCGTGTGCGCCAGCTTCCCTCCTTACCACGGTTAGACATGGTCTTTCCGTAGGAGGAATTAAGGGAGAGAGGGCTCCCCGTGTTGCAAAGTCGCCTTTAAAAGGCTCTCTCCAAACATTTGCATTGAGCGTGTTAAATAAACCATCTCCCCTGTAGTTTCGCTGTGGGAAAAGCAATCTTTACCTGCCAGCTCCCTGCACTTGTGCGTTTGAAGGGATATTTTTTCTAATGCTCTCTGCGTACCCTGAGCTGGGAGATGCCCCTTTGCCAGCCTTCCCTGGCTACCTGCCCTGCGAATAGTCTTGGACCGAGTTAGGACGTCTTACCAAGCGGGTGCCGCAGAACCGAGAGCCGCCTGCGGCAGCAGCCCATGCACCTTACAACCCGGGGCACCGTTTGCTGTTAAACGAGCAATAGGAGCCCACCAAGAGTGAATCTGTGGCCCCAAGAGGTGCAGAGGGGGATGCTGGCTGCTCGGCAGAGGCTGTGAGCAGAGGCTTGCCAGCTCCGGGTGCCCCGCGCGACAGGAGGGTGCAAAGCATCCCTTCGCCATACTGCTAGAAATCCTCTGGCCCCAAGCGAAGTGCCTAAGGAGAAGACAGGAGCGAGCCTTGCGTCCTGGAAGTGCGTTGGGTCTGGGTGTGTCGCAGCACAGCCAGGCTCTCCTGAGCACACCAGCTCTCCTTGCCATCTCTCCTCTCTCTGCTTTCACGTCCTCCCCCTTCCCTCTGACCGGGGCACTTCCCGCACCTTCCTTGCTCGGAGAGTCCGGCCACTCTCATTACCTGTAATTTTCTGCCTTTGAGACTTATAAATGTGATCAGTGGTAGCTGCTGCCTCCAAACGACACCTTGTTTGCCTTCTGGGCAGAAACCACGGCTGCTGCAGAAGCAGCGGGCGGGTTTGTGCCCCGACCCAGCAGGGATGCTCCAGGCTGGAGGGACAGCTGCTCCTCCGTGCCAGTCTCCCTTTCCCAACCTTCAACTGCTTTTGTTTATAAAGGGTTTTTGCAAACAGAGAACAAAGAAAAAAAAACCCCATTTTTTGGTACAATCTCTAAGCCTGGGGCTCTGCTGTGGTTTGACCAGTACTTTATGCCAGCCCCGGGGCACGGTGTATGTGACACTGTTGCACCAAGTGGCTCCTGCTCGGGGGGCGTCACGTCACCGAGCCTAAACTGGTGGCCGTGCCGTGACCCGGCGTGTCTGCCGCTGCGCACGCACTGGGCTTGGGGCTTCTGTGGCACGTGGGGCTGGATTAAAGGCTCTTCAGTTCACCAGCAATCTGGTTTTTGGGATGAGTGTACATGCCGTATCCGAGGAGACGGGATTGCCTGTTGATCGAGAGCCTCGGGCTCCCTTCTCCTATCAGCTACTGAAGCTGAATGGCTCTGGGATGATCTCCCAAAAAGCCCATTTCATCCCTGCGTACTGCTTGAGGGGCTGGGACCACCACAAGACGCTTTCCCCTGGGATGGAGAGAGCTGTGGCAGGGCCGGCTCTGCTTGGGCCGAGCAGGTGTGGTTATACAAGGCTTGGAAATGTTCTTTTCGTGCCCCAACCTTCCTCTGCCAAGTGCTGTGACCGTATTTTGGGTGTCCGCTCTCCGATTGAGACTGCTTTGGCAAGAGGGCCCCGGCTGCTCTAATTTGCTCTCCCCTCCCCCTGCCTCCCCAGGTATGAAAGCCTTGGAGTGCTCGCCCTCCACCCCCACCATGAACTCCTACTTCTACAAGTTCATGATCAACCTGCTCAAGCGCTTCAGCAGCGAACGGAAACTCCTGGAGACCAGAGGAGCCTTCATCATCAGGTCAGAGCATCCCACCAGCCTCACCGAAGCCCCCGAGCACGCCCCGGGCAGGGTGGGCTGGGGATGACGGGGTCGAGCAGCCCAAGCACCGAGCTCCCTCGGAGCCAAAACCGTTTCATACAAGCCTCCCTCGCTCGCCGGCAGATGGTTTTAGAGCAAACAGGACTTGCCTTTCACATGTCGAGGCACCGTATTTCTCGTTCCCATGCCCAGAGGCAAAGTAGCTTCTTATTAAATAGTATTGTCAGAGCCCGTTCCATTAAGAAACAACTAGACCAGCCGGAGCACGAAGACAGGCTTGGGCTCGGGGTGCCAGGTCGAGTGAATCCCTCCACCCGGCTCGGCGTGACGCTCGCCCAGCAAAAGTCTCGTCCTCCAAAGCTGCGTGTTTCGATGCTTGGAGTTGGTAGGTTTTGCTTCGGCTTTTTAAGGAGCTGCAGAGGAGGCTGGAAAGCCAAGCATCGTGGCAGCGGGCAGGGCGTCGTCTTTGATGCAGTGTAACCTGGGGGAAGGGACACCAATGCCTCGGCTCGCTGGGAAATAATGAGCTTAGCAGTAGAGGCAAGGTGGAGAAATTGGTGAGGAGGTCGGTGGGAGGAGGGGGCAGGACCCGACCCTGGGTTTTCCTCCCTTGCTTTCAGGGAGGTGGCTTCAAAAATGAACGTGGGGAGAGCGAGAAACCCAAGCCATGCTCCCATGGGAGAAGAGAGCTGCCTCTCCGGAGGCAGAGGGGTGCACGAGGTACTGATGGGGGGGGTCCCATCACCGCGATCGGAAAATAAAGTGTGCAGAGCTCTCAAAATCTGCTATGCCGAGCCGGGTGTTGAGCTGTACCCGCTTGGGCAGCAGTTTGTGCCCAAGTCTTTGGGCAGCCTGAGGGCGCGCTGCAAAGTTGCCGCTGGATTCATCCCGTGAGCGATGAACGTCGAGGCGAAGCATGGCAGGTTGCAAAAATGAGATGAAAGGTGGGCAGGGCTGGGTTGCAGCCGCTGTTCGGGCTGCAGCGCAAGGATCTCAGAGGTTTTCCCCCACTTGCGTTAAATTTTAATGTAATACATTACATTTCCCCCCCAAAAAAAATCTAGCGGAGCATATGTTTTCTTGCTTCTGATAGGAGTCTGGAAATGTTGGGTTTAATCATATGGGGATCTAGGAATAAGACAGAGGAAATATCCCACTCGTAGCGTCCCCTCTCTTCTCCCCCGTCTGCGCAGCCCCTGGTTTGAGCAGCCCTTGGCAGGGGAAGCAGCCCTATTCCTCGTTAAGGGAGCAGGACAATTAGAGCAGTCGTGAGCCTGGGCAGGGTCCCATTTAAAAGCTCTCCCGTATCGCGGCCACCTCAAATTTTTCCCTCCGGCTCTGGCAGGGTGAGCCTTGGCTGGCGGGGCCGGCTTTCCCGGCAGCCCGCCCGCAGCCCGGGGGGGCCGGCAGCAAGCCGGGGCTTTTTACAGTGACTCATGCCCCCAAAAATCCGGTGAAGCGAAAAAAAACAAAAAACAAACAAAAAAAAAAACCCCCGACTGTCCTTTGTCAAGTCACGTTGTGGCTCACGTGGGGTAGATGCAGGTCTGGAGCCAAAGCGGTGGTTCTGGGAGGGGTGAGCCGTGCCCTGGGGTGCTAGCGATTAACTCTGAAACCTACTGATGGCGGTTGAAGCGCTGGTATTAACTACATCTCTGCTGCCTCCAGAAAAAGCAAGATGGGAATAGAGGAGGGAAACTTTTACAGGACTCTCTGGAAAAGATTGATCTCTTGCCGGAGAGACCCAGTGAACGTGGGAGCTCCGTGGTGCTATTTTTAGCCACTTTTCAAATTGAAGCCGTATGCGCGTTCCCACGTTACATCCCTCCCTTGTCCATGAGCCAGCTCAGCTGTTCCGCGCAGCGGGGTGAGAAGCCAGCCTCGTGTTTGACTTAGGAGATGCTGGTGATGTTTCGTCCTGGGCTGGAGAGCACGAGGGGGATGCTTGAGAGACCGAGACAGCGTATGCTAAAGCGTGGTCCTCCCCCACCGCCGGCACAAGCCCTTTGCTCCCCACGCACCACCCATCATCTTCCCCTCCCCTCCGGGACCACCGCTCCCCTTTCTGCTGCCGGCCGGCCCGGGAACGGCGAAGCAGGGAAGGAAAATAGACCTGTTAAGTTTAGGCAATGATTTCCAGCTGAAGGATGAGTGCTCAGGGGAAAGGGAAACGGGGGACAGGGTTTTTATTAAAGCACAGCGCAGCAATTTTCCCTGTCACGGTGCCAGTGGGCGAGTTCAAAGGTCCGTGAGGTCAGGCGGAGGGTCTACAGTTAAAGGTAGTTTATTTTCTAACCCAGCTCAGGCTTGATCATGCCCGGTTGCTGACTCGAAAAGGACTTTAGCCTCTCTCCTGATACATCCTCGGAGTCCTGGAGGCAGAGGTTACGGTACGTCCCGTGCTTGAGGACGGGAGTGTGGTTTGAGCGGCGATCTCTGCAGGAGCCCACGGAGGTGGGAAGGTCTCTTGCTCTGTTAGGGATGCGTGGTCCCCGAGACGTGCAGAGCTGCTCCGGTGCCTGCCCGCCACTGGGAGATGGGTGGGAGAAGCACCCACAGCCCTCCCGGGCAGAGGTGGGGGCTGTTGATGGGTGGTCTCACCATCAGTGATCCCGATCCCAAACTGGGTATCTCGAGATGGTTTGCCAGAGAAGACAGGGTGGAACTAAATGGAAACACAAGCTGCCTTTACAGTAACAGGCAAACAGTTCCAAAAGCTTCTGCCATTCGTAAGGAAGAACCCAGATCATTTCTTCTCCCTTGCCTGGGGCCAGTGGGCTAGGGGATAACCCAGCACTGGCACGTGGTCCCTCTGCCAGTGCTGCTGGTGCATCCAAGAGGTGCCCTTGGAGGTGCCCTTCTTGGTCTGTCGCCTTCCCCAGTGGGATCCAGCACGGCATCACCAGATCAAACCATGGTGTGATGCCTCGTCCGTGCCACCACCCAAGGGGACCTCACGGAGGGAGAGCCTACAGCCACGGCGGAGCTCACACACTGCGCTGAGCCCCGGCAGGAGGAGAAGGGAAGGGAAACATCCAGGAAAGGGCTCTTCAAGCTTCTTCAAAGCTGCTTAGATGCCTCATGACCGTCTGGGAGAGGGACCCTCTTTGTGAAGGGATGTGCCGAGGGGGCTCCAGTGGTATGAATCACCCAGAGTCTCACACTTTCCACCCCTCTCCCCTTGAGGAACCGGAGAGGTGGCAAACCTGCTCCCATGGTCTCTTCCAAGGATTTTTTTGGCTTGGCATCAGTTTCCTGCGTCGCAGCAGACGAGGGTTTCCTTTGGGGGTTGGTCTCTCTCTCTCTCTGTCACTTGGGACTTTTTTTAGGCTGGAAGCCAAGTAAAGTTATTCCGCCTTCGAAACTCAGAATTCAAAGCGCTGCCTTCTCCTTTCGAGCCAGGCGTGTTTGCACTCAAAGGTGGCTTCCAAAGGGCTGTTGGAGGCAGGAGCATCAGCTGTTGCTCAGTGTTACCTCTCACCTTGATGAGCAGACCCGAGACCTTCCAGCCCTCTCGCTAATTGGGAGCTATCTGCCCTAGCTGGCACGTGGCCGTCCTGGACTCAACGGAGCCCTTAAGCAAGAAGCAAATATTCACATTCAGCTGCTGGCCTCCTGACGATGGCTTGGAGCAGCAGAAAAATGCAGCGGAGCTTCCAAAGCATCACATGGCTCCTTGGAGCGGCACGTCTGTCCTCCGGGCACGGACCCTGCGGAGGGAAAGCTGCTCGGCCGGTCAGGAGGCAGGCAGCGGAGCGGCACCGAGCGTTTCAGCCCACGCTGAGGTTTACGGGCTGGTTTTAACACTTGCTTGTTGGTACCAGCTCTATGGGATGGGGGGGTTAAGCGAAAGGCTAAGCCTTACCCCACGGACATCAGTGTTGCTGCTCAGAGCACGGTTTGAGCATGGGGCTAGCTGCCCTAGCAGCTTGCTGCCCTTGGAAGGAGCCATCTTCTCCCCGCTCGCCCCTCCCCAGGGCCGGTTGTGCGGCTCCCATGCTGTCCCCGGGGTCTGTCTGAGCTCCGGGAGCCGGTTTAGCTCGCTGGCTTTTTGCTGCTCTCTCAGATGGAGCAGCTCAGGCATTCGTGGCTGATGTACCTTTGCCAGGACGGTAAATGAACCCTCCAGGCTACAGGATGTGCTCGAGTGGCTGGAGACATCCCCGTGCGCGTTGTCTGCGGATGCTTTGAAGTGCAGGGCTTAACTTTTAAGCCCAGAGAGGCCATTTTCTCGCCGAGCAGTGGCACGCTGGGGGCGTAGATGACGCGTGAGTCAGCACTCTGCTCCCCAGGCAGGGGCCCGTGCGCAGGGGTTGTCTCAGCTTGTTTTATAGAGCCGTTAAATAAACCTCCCCGCTGCCTAGCACCTTCTCATGAGGCATTTTCTGAGGTTAAGCCGCGTGGAAGGGGCCCCTGGGGTGACTTTTCAGCCACATCCCGTGCGATGCACACGGCGGGGCTTGGCCGTTGGACCGGGGATGGTCCTTCGCTTTTTGGGGGATGCTTGAACCCCGTGGGGGGCGGCCAGGAGGGTGGGCTGGTTCTCCATCCGTTCTGGAAGACGTAGGCTGGAGCAGATAAGGTTATTCGGCCAATTTATGGCATTAGCTGGGGAGCTGGAAAATCCCAAGTCTCGTGATGGGGCCGCGGGTTTATGGCTCCTGCAGACGGGAAAAGTTCACCTGGCTGGAAATCCTGCCTTTTCCTTGAAGTCTCAAAGTCCTGCCGGGATGAGGCCAGCGGAGGGCTGGATAGCAAAGAGGGCAGAGCTGGGGACAAACACCGGCATGTCACCTCGGGTGCATGAAGAGCTTTACGGTGATGCCCTTGGCGTGGGGCTGGGGTGGCCGGTCCCCTCTTTTTGGGCAGGGAGGGGACTTTTCTGCCTCAGAGAGGCTGGGGCTGACCATGCGACACCCCTTTCTCCCCCAAAAAGCAGGGGGGGGAAAAAAGCGAAGTGGGTTTGAACCTGCTAACCG